ATAACAGACTATGTAACAAGACTGCTCTTTATAGGCAAAGACTATCTTAATCACTCCTGTATCCCTAGACTGTCTATAGTTCTTAACCTTGACTAATTAGAATAATATGTGGATTTTATAAAAATGCAATGCCTGACATCTACCTTGATCCATTAAATCATAAAGGTCTGCCTAGATGGTGGTACTTTTAAAAAAAATTTTCGTAGGATATGTATGATATGCTTGCCAGGATTAATCACTGCATTCTAACATTTAACATATTAAGTTATTGTTGTTAGATCTGACTAACAGTGATCAACAGAATGATTCAATGTCCAAGCCTGTGACATCCTCACCAGTGCTTCAGTGGCTGAGCTCACTGGTACAAGCAGAATCAATTCATCTAGCAGAGAAAGTTGTCCTAGTCTTGCTGATCCTCTCCTTCATCAAGCATGATGTCATTTTCCAGGGATGGGCTCCCCCTGGTAACATGCATATGCCCAAAGTATGTGAGGCAAAAGTCTTGCCATCCTTTCTTTTTAGGATAAGAAAAAAAAATTTATTCAATCATCAGAATATTAGGTTTGTACGATCCCAATGTATAGAAAGACAAATATCTAAATGGCCTGGTTTGCTTCTCATTTATTAAGTGATCACATATCTTAAATGCCTTCATTCATCTTAATTAAAAATACAAACATGAAAAAATATATACACATATATATCTGACATAGTAAAGATTTGTTTTAAATGTAAAGTCCTCATTAGTTAAGCTTTCTTCTTTTATTATTAAACATTCTTCCAGGTGGTATATTACTGGTCTGTGCATTGATTGCGGTACAGAGGTAACTCGTGGTTGCTGTGATGCTGAACACTGTGACATTGATGTGCCAAACGTGGTAATGGTTACCCATGGTGGACAGTGTTTACTGGAGCCTCCAGATTAAAATAAACCTGGAAGCAGGAGTGGCATCCACTTCCGAAATGGCTTGCCTTCAAAAACTCTATGTATGAACAGTGCTCAGGCCTTTTGTTCATAGGGTCGCTATGAGTCGTCTACGACTGGATGGCACCTAAAAACAACAACACATGCCTTCTTGCTTGTTAAATTCTCAGCACTTCTCTCCATCCTCACTTCTGAAGGAGTATTTTGACTGCACTTCTCCTGACACTAAACTTGTTGTCTTTGAATCCACTCAGAGTCACAGCAACCCTATAGGGCAGACAACTGCTCTGGGGGAATTCAAAGGCAGAAACCTCTACTGAAACAGAACACCTTATCTTTCTCCCATCAAACAGCTGGTGGGGTTAAACTATCGACCTTTCCTTTTAGCAGTCTGTGGCTGTTGTCATTAGGCCATGTCAAGAGAACTGAATCCTGTCCTATCCTATGCCATGCTCACCATCTCTGACACACTGGAGCTAGTGGTTAGCTATTACATCATCAGAGTTCTTTACGATGCAAACATGCTGCTGTTGTGTATCATCAAGTTGGAAATCACTCAAGAGTTGACTGTCCCTCTTTCCTTCTATAGAGCCACTGTTTGAACTACATACTTTTGGGTTGGCAGCCCAACTCCTTATCCTTAGGCCACCAGAGCTCCTTATACAAACATATACAGGGATGTGTACGTATATGCCTAAGTTTACAGATTCAGGAATATAAATGCAGATGCACACACACCTAAACACGATACTCTGTTCAAGGTCTTCATCCTTAATTTAAAAAAAAAAAAAAAAAAATTACTCTCACCAAGGTGATCCCAACTCACAGGGATCACATAGAACTACCAGTAGGATTTTCAAGGCTATAATTCTTTACAGGAGCTGAATGCCATAACTTTTTCCCAAGGAGCAACCAGGGGTTCAACTGTCAACCGTTTAGTTAATAAGTGGTCACTCGTTTAACCTTTTTGCTACCAGGGCTCTTTCATCCTCAACAGCTACTCCTAACAAATCATCTCTTCCCTTTAAACACATGATGGCTCTAGTAAGCACTGATTATGTGCTGTCTTAAGATGGCTTTTAAAACTTTTTTAAAGCTCATTACTTAAGTTTTTTTTCATAATTATGCTTTATCATTCTTCCTAGATTTGTCTTGCTTCTTGAGAATAAGCTTTATCCTTACTTTCTCTACAAGTAGGATGGTGCTGTGTTATGTGCCACTGAGTTGGAACCAACTCAGAGTTGGGCCTCCAGCAGGTTTTTAGAAGCTATAAATAGCACCAGAGATTACACATCTTTCTCCTGTGGTGGTGTTGGTGGATTCAAATCACCTGCCTTTGGGTTGACAGTGCAACTTCTTTCCCACATACAACAAACATTTAACTGATCTTATAAAAGTACAAAAGTTTATTATGCCTGGAGACATGAGACATGGCCTAGTGACACGCAGGTCCTTCAAGTCTTCATTTACAAAATGTTTCCTCTAATAAAGCCCTTTTTTGCTTCCACCATTTTAGAAAAGTATATTATGCCCAAATTATCCAATTTGGACTAATTTGTAGCAAGAAAATAAAAGTTAAAAAAATCAGTTTAAAATAGCTCTAATCTAATACATAAGAATGATAGCTTATCTCAAGAAAGCATCTAGATATTTGCACATTTCGTTAGTCATGAAATAGTCTCTCACCTCTACCCTTCATTTTCCATTTTTTACCCGCTTACTAAAACTATCCCCTAGTTCATTCTAGTATCTTTAGCTCCTGTCAAGTACCTACACAATACTTTTATAAAACTCTGTCATTAACAAACTGAGTTAATTTGAGTAAAGGCACAATGAATACTTCTTGGAATAACTTAACGGTTATCAACTTTTAAAATAAAATTCTACATAAGCTGCATGCTTACCAATAGAAATTTTGTCTGGGAATACGCTGTGTCTTCCACAATATCACATTTAATACAAGTCTATGTGTGAATGCTTACATTCGAGTTTGTAGACAAACTGCCAGTTTTATAATACTTTCATTCCTAAAAAACCCTGGAGAATGAAACAGAACTTTTTTTAAAGTGTGCTAAGTTGTAACAGACAACCAACTCCACAACAGTTTCACCGCACCATCATCAGAAAAGCAACCATCTCATATAAAAATGAACACTTTAAAAATTTCGTGCCATTCATTTGGCCACTATTAAAACAATCTGAAACTTACTGTTTAAGAGAAAGGGAAAAAACCTGATTTGGAAAGGAAGTACTCAAGAAGTGTGGCTGCTAATTAGATACTGTGATAAAACATGATTACATTATCAGGTCAGACAGCATGAAGCAGATAGAGCCATAGTTACCACTAAGAAAGCACTCCTCAACTCCCTGTTTAATAAAAAGGGATCAAATTCCACAGACAAAACTGGTACCCTGGATTGTTTGTTTTTAAGGAAGATTAAATTTAGGAGTTGCCAACACCCAAATGGAAAACATTCCAGAGTATTAGACTCAATTGTAATGGGGAGTCATCTACATTCTTAGCACTACATCCTTTATCCAAAGCAGGAGTATTAACAAAGGATGTTTCTCAGGATCCTACGGGTTACACCCCACTTATTTACCACAGTAAACATTATCGTCATCTAAAAAAAGTTTTTTAAAGGTTATTATGAAAATAACCTTAACACAATCAGACAAAAAGTGAAGTTTATTATCTGGCAAGATAGTTCCAAAATAAAGCCCCTGTCAAATGAACAGTGCATTAAAGAACAAAAATGATAAATTATTTTATTTGAACCATCAGCTACTCTTAGAGTTGAGGAATGCAGTTTTTCCTTAGCCTTGTCTTCAATTTCCCCTTAACCTTCATATTTTTAGCTTAAAAAAAAACCCAAACCCACACAAAACCTAGAAATTTGATTACCACTTTTATGAATTCCTTTTAAAGTAATTTAATGAGTAACAGATCTTTTGTGCAAGTAGCAAACCGCAGAGGAGTTTTGCTGGTTGATAAAAACCTCCCTGAAATACTAATATAAATGCACATCCTCCAAAGAAAATTCCTCAGTTCTCCATGTAAATCATAGATTTAACTTGGAAAAAAAAGGGTATGTTTGCTATACATCCCAATTTATTGTGAAAACTCTTGTTTAAAATTACAAATAAAGATGGTACCTTCTAATATTTATTCATGAGTAAATCAAAAGGCCATGACTGGTGGCTTGGGTTTTTGTTTTTTTTAAATGTGAAAACTAAAAAACCAATGAGAAAAAAAGCAGCAACTACTTTCCGTGAAACATGAATCACTTCCCAAAACCAGTGAACTATTAATAAGAAAAATTTACTTGGGATTGTTTTGTTTTGTTTTGTTTTGTTTTGTTGGAGGGTAAGGTCACACACTAAATAAAAATGCTAAACTACTGGCTCTACTGGGAAAATGCAACTGCCTACAGAAATGTTCTCAAGCCTGCTCAGAACAGGAGAGGGGAAAAAACAATCTTTCTGTTAAGTGTTCTCCACAATAACACTGACTCAAACTGTGAAGTGCAATGGGGTCCCAGCAGTCCTAGTTACTACTCAGAAAACAGCAACATCCACACAATGCGCAGCACATTCAAAAAAAGTTGGTATAGACGTGAAATCGTGTATATGTACTCGTCTTCGGTTCACTGCAAAATAAAGCTCTTTCACACTGTCCACGTTTGCTTCACAGGTGCCATTACACCCGCCGAGAGTAATAAAAGATAAGCCACCTGATAGCTTCAGACAGACACGTGGGAAATCTAATGGAGTATGCCGTCACGACCATTAATCAATTTTTCTAATTTCAACACGGAATGGCAAGCTCTGCCAGGCAAGTCCTGGAGACCCAAGTTTTCTCTCTCCAGCCCTGCAATCCGGATGTCCGAAAAACACGTGTCCCACCCCAGAGCAGAGTGACTTCCCAGGAATCATTTGGTCCATAAAACTCCAAACCCTTCACCTGCATTCACTCGGTGAAAAAGCAGGAAGGACAAGCGAGCAACTCCCGACCCCGGAGAAGCGGGTGCTGCCCGGAGCACAAGGCCCGGGGGGCCGCGAAGGTCCGGCTCACCTCTGCCGCGGGGATGTTGACCACGCCGGTGGAGCGCCGCTTCTCCCGCAGTTTCCTCTTCTCGATCTGCCCCTTGCCTTTCCGGGCGCTTGGGCCCGAGCTCTTGCCCTTCTCCCGGGCGCCGTCGGGTTCCTCCTCGTCGCCCCGGGACGGGGATGCCCCCGAGGCGGGGGCGATGGCCGCCGGGGCCTCGTCCTCCAGCCTCCGCGCCCCCGGGACCGCCCGGGCCAGAGCCGCGGGGCCGACGGCGCAGTTCACGCCCCCGGCGCCCGGGGCTGCAGGTGCGGCTGCGCCGGCCGGGAGGTTATTGTTGAGCTCGTTGGCCACGGCGGCCGCCGAGGTGCCCAGCAGCCCCGTGGGGGGCTTCCCGGCCGCGTCCCCGCCGCCCGCCGCCGAGCCCGAGGGGTTCTGCTTGGAGCGCATCTTCTCGCGCTTCGCCTTCCACTCCTCCAGGAAGTCGGTGGTGCTGCTGCCGCCGGCCCGGTAGCCACCGGTCGCCATATTCCCAGCGGAGGCGGCCGGGCTCTCACCTCAGGCTGCCCACCCCGGATCTGGCCGCCAACGCCTCTTCCTTCCCGCTCGCGGGAGGATGCGAGGGGACGACCCCCCGGCGCGGAGACGGCTGCGGCTCCCCCGGTAAGAGGAACGTCTGAAAGAACACAAGAGGGGAGCGGGGAAAGGAGCCGTGAGATCCTCGCCAGGCCGGAGGACCCTGTACCCCGAAAGCCCCGTGGGATGCGCGCGATCTTCCCGCCGGGTAACGAACTTTCCGCCGCACCTCCACGGGGAGCGGCGCCCAGAGCCCGTATAGCGCTGCGCCCCAGGGGCGGGCAAAGAAGTGACCCCACCCCCGGACCGGGCCCGCCCCATTCCCCGCCAGGGTTAGAGGCTGCAGGGGTCGGGGGGCCACGGCCAGACCCCGCCACCTGTCGGCCTGCGGCGCCGCCCGCCCGCCCCATCGCTCTGAGCGCCCAGAGTTCGAGATTCCCACACCAACCATAAGCCCTCTCGGAGGCGAGGCGCGGAGCCGCTCTCCGGCTCGCGAGGAGGCGAGAACCCGAGCAGACACACCAGTTAGTTGTCCGGCCAAGCCAAAAAGGGAACGGGCGCCGACGCGAGCGCGGGCAGCCAGATCAACAACTTACCACCGACAAGTTTGGAGTCCGGAGCTCGGGCCGGAAGGGAGTGGGTGCCCAGGTGAGCCGAAGCAGCCGAGCGGTCCCAGCCGGCGCGGAACGAGCTGCGCTGCACACACCGTCCCGTGCCGCGGCTTTCCCGGGAGAGGAGGGAGGGGACGAGGGAGGGAAAGCGCAAGGGGCGGGAGGCCTGCCGAACGGCGCCGAAGCTGGGGCGGAAAGAGCCGAGGCGGCGCGCGAGGGGCGCGGCGCGGAGCGGGAGGGTCGTGCCGTCGACGCCCCGCCCCCGGCGCTCAGGTGCGCGCCGAGGCGTCCAGTCGGCTGCGGCTGCCTCAGGCTGCCGTCCCCGCGCTTCGCGCCCGCCGCGCGAGTCAGACCGCACATTCCTGGGCTCGCCGCCTCGGGGCGTCCAGCCTCCCGGCGCCGCGGACTCAGAAGCAGCGGCCGCCCTCCACGCCCTTTACCCTCCGCCTCTCCTCCGCCTGTTTCTTCTCCCACTCCTCTTCCTTTTAAGTACAAGACTAGATTTTTCGAGGGAAAAGTCTGGATTGCTGCTAGCTGAGGGTGAAAGTGCTGACAACTGGTTAGGGCCTGAATAGCTTGAATGGGGAAACTCACGTCTTCTTTCCCTTGTCCTTACCGCACTTTTAAGATGGTTGATGGATCAGAGTCAAAAGAACCCAAACAAACCCAGTATCCCCTTTCTAAGACAAATCTGTGGTTCCTTCCTAAATCCTTGGCTAAAAGACGCTTAAATAATGAGTGTCGAGTTTACACTGATTACTAACCTTAAAGATTAGTGGTTCGAGTTCATCCATCTTACCAAGCAAGAACGAAAAGATTTGGCTATCTGCTTCCATAAAGTTTATAACCAAGAAGTCTCTGTAGCAGTTCTACTCTGTAACACCTAAGGTTGCTGTGAGTCTGAATAACTCAGTGGCAACAACTATTTCAGGTTCTCAAGAGAATTTGAAAACTCATTTCTACAATGTGTTGTATAGTATAATCGGGTCTCAGAGTTTTCCAGTTAACCTTGCCTGGTTTTCTCCCCTTTACAGATAGCGAATTGAGCTGCAAATCTCCCACCTAAAAATAGAAAAGCTGTACTGTTTTTTTAGAGAAGCTGGGAAGACTGTCTCTGCTTTTCCATCCTTGACATGCAGGTATGAGCAGTTAGGAAATAAGGAGATGCCTTGCACTGGGAGTATCTAGTTAGGGACCTCTCCAAATTATTTAGGAGTAAGGATGTCAGTTTGAGGACTAAGGTGTGTCAAGCCATAGTCTTTCCAGTCACTTGCTATTCATCTGAGAGCTGGACAATGAATAAGGAGTACAAAAGAAAAATTGATACCTCTGAGCTGTGGTCTTGGAGAAGAGCATTGTACATCCCATAGACGGCCGAGAGAACAAACAGATATGTCTTGGAGAGGGTGCAGCTGGAGTGCTTTTTGAAGACAAGAATCATGAGGCTTCACCTCACATACTTCGGACATGTTGTTAGAAGGGACTGTTCCTTGGAATGGGTCATGATGCTGGGAAGGGTAGAGAAGAAGACCCTCAGCCAGGTGGATTGACATGTTAACTGCTGCAGTGGGCTCTTGTGTGACAGGAAGTGTGAGAATGGCACAGGATAGAACAAGGTTCAGCTCTTTTGTTCATAGAATCACTATGAATTGTACTCAATTCAAATATGGTGCCTAACAATGACTATAGGAAGTTAACTCTGCTTTTCCATCCTTGACATGCTAAAGAGTAAATATTAATCTCTGAGGCAGGTAATCAAATAGTTCCGTATGAGGGCTTCTACATAGACTGACCTTACACTATTCAGGTAGTGCCAGAGCACATAATTATTGTAAGCTACAAATGTCATGTCACCTTTTTAAAGGAATTAGAGCCCTGAGTCACACTCTCACTTAAAATCGTTCTTCCTACTTAGTAAGCCTGTTCTTCTCAGGTGGCACATGGTGGGTGGGCAATTATGTGTGCCTGAGATAGGAATGAGAACAGGAGAAAGTGATTCACATGCTATTTATTTCTCAGAAGGAAAGTCACAGTTTTGATCCTTTACTTTGGGATTAATGTATTAGGTAACTGGGAGTTAGTTCTTTAATATCTTTGGAAAAGTTAAGGCCTTCTCTGAGAACGGACCCTGATACATAGTAGATTAAGCATTGTAACATGACCTGAAAAATTAGCAGTTCAAACCCACCAGCCACTCTGTGGGAGAAGGGTGAGCAGTCTCTCATGTCTCTGAGATTAATAGATGGAAGACCATCAGGAGTTAGACGGTCGGACAGCAGGGAATTTTCTTCAGAAACAAGATTAAAATCCTGGGTGGTTGGTACTAACACAGGTTTCATACCTGAAACACCTCAATTAGAGATTCGTTGTTTTGTTCTCTGAATTTTTAGGAGGGGAGAGGATTAGGGTTTGATTTAGATGTTAATAATCTTTGTAATTTATGAGAGCATTGTCTCTTAAGGGTCTGTGTCATGTAGTAGAAAGATGGTCAGGCTAGAAACCCATGTTAAATAACTGAATATGTTAAATAATTGAAAGATTCTAGACATTTCTGAAAGTCAGCTTTATTACTACTAAATCAGCATAATAAAAACATAACATTTTTCAACTGTTACAAACTTGAAGTGATCCTACGTGTACATCCTGAGGAGATGCCCTCAGAAAGCATAGTCCCTTTTCCTAGTAAAAGAATGTTAAACAGAGCTTAAAAAAATATAGTTTCTAAAAGAAGTGTGTTTTGAGGCGAGGAAAACATGGAGGAAGGCAAGCAAATAAAATGAAAATTGTTAAGTATATCGTATGAACTTGAAAATAATAGACTTTGAATGAGCTACGATAATACTGTATCTCTTTAGGTCAGTTGTGTGAGTCCAGAATGCTGGCCACTGCTGACTTGTGTCACCTTAGGCAAGTAGCTTAAATTCTGTGCCTCAGTTTACTCAAAAACCAAACCAAATCACTGCATCATATCGATTCCACCTCCTGATTTTGACCCTCCAGCTGGTTACCAAGTTACTTACTTACATATAAAATGTCACTGTTGTGTGCTTTTAAGTTGGAATCAACTCATAGCTGACCCTCCAGTGAGTTTTCAGAAGCAGTCAATTGCAAGAGAGGAGATTGCCTACCTTTCTCCTGCAGAACTCCTAGTGGATTTGAACTTCCTGCCTCCGGATTAGCAGCATAACTCCTTACTCACTAGGCCACCAGAACTCCCTACATATACAGTAGGAATGATAATACTTCCTATGTTGTAAGAATATTATGAAAGTGCTTGTAGTACTTACAAAAATATTTGTGAGCACCGGAGTAGTCATTATAGCTCTCATGGTACAGTGGTTTACGCACTCAGCTTCTAACTGAAAAGTGCATTGGAGAAAGATGTAGAAGTGTGCTTCTGTTAAAATGTAGATTTGGAAACTTTGTCCTAGAGGGTTGCTGTGAGTCAGAATCAACTTCATGGCAGTAGGGTGAAACCTTGAAAGAAAGGGATTATTGTACAGAACACTACCTATTTTTATTATTATCATTTGTTATACCTTCTAACTTTGTCATGCCATTCACAGTATTCCCAAAGATGCGTATCATCCAGACTGCTCCCAACAGTCTCACAGCAGGGTATTTAGCTGAGTCAGTTTTAATTACAAGATGCTTGCATGTCTTCAATCTTTATATATATTGTTCTGACGAAGTGGTCCTCAACACTCTGAACTTGATTTCTCAGCACCACCACACTGTTGAACAGTGATTCTTTGTTATGAGAAGCCATCCTGTACATAGACTGTTTATTGGTATCTTTGGCCCTTCTCTCTAGTAGCTACCAGTAGCACACCCCTCTGTGACCATGAGAACTATCTCCTAGCCATTGTCATATGTCCTCTAAGGGAGCAAAACTCTCCCAAATCGAGAACCTCTCATCTGGCCTAAAATAACTACTTTTGGAGATGCTCTTGACCTTAACAAGAGGAAATAAGCTGATGCTAAAAATAATAAAATATTTCTTTTCATAGGTCAGAAAGATTCTTATTCTAAATGTTACATCTAAGTGTTTCTCAGGTTGTAAATTAAATATGATACTTCATAGCCTGTTGGTACCTGTTTAAATAATAGCACATTGAAGTAATAGCATATTGAGAAATAGCCATGTTTTTTTCAATGCAATGATCTCTGGAGCACATGCAGTCCTTTGTTTGTTAATCAAAATCTAAGGACATACATAGTTTTAATAGTTAAATATTTTTTACATGGATATAACAAAACCCAGAAATTATCTCCCTATCCTCCTCACTGTCAGAACTTGGAACTCTGTATTTACTAATATAACTTCATACTTATTAATAT